GTCAGGGTCAGTGGGTCACAGTCAGGGGGCAGCACCCAGTTCCCACAGGGGGTCACAGTCAGTAGGTCACAGTCAGAGGGCAGCACCCAGTTCCCACAGTGGGTCACGGTCCGTGAGTCACAGTCAGAGGGCGGCCTCCAGGTCCCACCATGGGTCACGGTCAGTGGGTCAGTCAGAGGGTGGCATCCACTTCCGACAGTGGGTCACAATCAGAGGCCTCGTGTTTGCCTGAAGGGTTGCACACTGTTTGCTGAAGCTAGTTTGGGTCGAGGGGCTGTTTTGTTCATGGTCCTGTGCTGCCTGTTGAGGCACCACAGCGGTGTCTTCGGGGACCTGTGGATGTGTCCTCCCGTGAGAAACAAGTAAAGACACTCCTGCTTCCTGGTCTCAGGCCAACACCTGGGCCTGGAGCCTGGGCCCCCTGCGGCTCCCCAGGGAGGCGGGCTGGCAGGCAGAGGGCAGGACCGTGCGTCCGCATGCCCACACCACCAGCACCCGGGACGCCGCAGCCGCCTGTGCGCCCCAAGACGTTTGCGGCACGTCCTGGGGTCCGAAGATACTCAAGTGATGACCCATGTGGCTCCTTAGAGGGTTGCCTCCAAAAAGCCGATTTTAGTCTGTTTTTTTCCTCCCATTCTAATCTCTAATACGTAATCACCTGCGGTTTTTGTGTCTCAGTGTCAGAAGTCTCATCCGCTCAAGGTACCGTGGCGTCTGGACGCCACCTGGTCCTGTGTTAAATGTGGGCATTTGATTTTATTCCCGCTAGATCGAATGTGCCGCCTACAATCCTGAGCCCTGTGTGAATAATGAGGTTCAGCCGGATTCGTCGTCCACGGCGCACGGTTTTCTGTGGGTAAGACGCGCTGCGTGTCTTTAATGCGGGTCCCTGAAGAATCAGGGTCCATGGGCCGCGTGACGAGAAGCCATAGGTTTGAAAGGTTCAGACTTGGAACGCCTGCTCGCTGCCCGCGTGTCCTGGGCTGTGTTTATAAACACGGAAGTCATGGACCAGGAGAGGGGACTGAACACTTTCGGTAAAGATGTGTGAGTCTCCCTGCCTTTTCTTTCTCATCTAAAACTTTACCAGGGTAGATTCAACCAACTTAACGAATATGGGAATTTAAATATTTCTTCAGTTAAATCGCACGAGATTTCTTTTTTCCCTGTCCAAGCCGTTGCTGGCTTCTTTACACTGGAAACTTAGTAGTTAATTTGTTCCAAATGAAGTGTTGCATTTGGACTACGCTGCGGTTGAAGCGGGGTTTCTGGTTCCTGCACCCAAAGTGCGTCCCCATGCACTGTGTTTTGAGGTCTCCTGTGCCCCGCTACCTACGCTCCCCCGGCCTCCTCCCCGACGGGCGCCCTGCTGTCTTACAGCTCCGAGGTGCCCAGCGCTCAGGCGACCTCTCCTGCCCCCAGCCAGCGCCTCTGTGTGGTCGGTGGCCTCCCTGAGTGCGCAGAAGGGGCCGCCTCATTCTGTGCACTCAGCCACTGAGGGTGGGACGGGCTTATCTCCCTAAGGTTTTTGAACGTTAAGAGAGTTTTCCCACCAGTCTGACGTGGAATGGGTACCTCACTCCCTCTCCTGGTCGCACCCCGCCCCTGCCGGTCAGAGCAGGGCCAGCTGGTGGCACCGTTCGCCTGGAAGGCTGTCCGAGCAGGACGCTTATGTGAGCATGGAGACATCGCAGGAGGGGTCAGGGGAGAGTGGCAACATTTGCAAAGCCGGTGCGAAGGACAAAGGGTCTGTGAAGCCTAAACACCACCTACCCGGCCAACTTTCCCCTCCAGGACCTCGCGAGCTCTGTGGGGTCAGTTCTTCGAGAACAAGATCCCACTCTTTCCCACTTAAACAACAATTTAAGTTGGGGGCGTCCGGGTGGCTCAGTTGGTTCAGCGTCCGACTGGCTTGGGTCATGATCTCGTGCTTCAGGAGTTTGAGCCCCGCATCGGGAGCCTGGAATCTGTGTCAAATTCTGTGTCTCCCTCTCTCTCAGCCTCTCCCCCACCCACACTCTGTACGTGTGTCTCTCTCTCAAAAGTAAAAATAATAAGTAAACCAACAGTTTAACTTCAAATTGGAAACAGAGTTTGCCGAGTGTGTTCAGTGACCCGGCAGATAGGTTCGTGGGCCTTCCCGCGGTGACAGAGGTGTCACAGGCGCCCGCACACGGCCTCGCACGCGAACACTGGTGACCACGTGGGGAGGCGTTCTGACGCTGCCTCGTCTCAAGCGCTCGTTTTCCTAGGTGAGCGTTAGTGTTAAAGTGCTGAGACTCGGTGTTCATGTACTTAGGACTCAAGTGGTGCCTGAGCTGGCCGTCACCTGTGTGGTGCTGGGGACGCGGGTTTTCAGGGATGCAAACACGAATTGTAAAAAGCTGAAACCCCCCTCCTGTTACGAGAATTAACGGGAAGAGTAGCCCCGTGAGTTGAAGAGAAATGTGCTCTGACGGCAGATTGTTTAGGCGCCCCCGACCCTCTTAATCGCGCCGGCCGTCGTGGGCATGTCGGTTCTCTCGTTGCCATGGAGTGTCAGGCCTCCGCGTGCTGTGGAAGCTCCCAGTGCTCCTCCCCAACCCCAACCCCTGCCTCAGATCCGAAGCTGCTGTGGAAGCTCCCAGTGCTCCTCCCCACCCCCACCCCTGCCTCAGATCCGAAGCTGCTGTGGAAGCTCCCAGTG